GACTGACTCTCTGTTATGGCTTCTTATTGCTGTTTTTTAATTTTATATTTAAGTCTTCATAATGCAAGAGATCTGTTTTTGCATAATATATATTATCATGCTCAATGCAGAAAACATAGGCATTGTCTTCTTCTCATAATGCTTTTCATATCCTACTGTTAAAAAAAGTTTTGAAACAAAACCACTGCTGTTTATTACACTTAGACTTTATACAGTAAACACTTGCTCTTTCTGCAGCCACAGCATCAAGGATAGAGTCTCCAGACAAAAGGATCAATGTGATCTGGGTGACTGTGTTAGTCTGGCAGTGGAGGTCTCCTGTTCCTCTGATGCACCAAGAGGCTCAGAGAGCCACAGCCTCTCAGAGCCGGATCTCAACACCTCATGTGCCTCGCAGGTCAGTTGCAGATACAAGCTAGCCTGTTTGACCGCTGCTGTCTCTTCCACACAATTAAAATGCAATGCAAATGTTCATGCATATCTTTTGGTTAAAACCTTGTTATTGATGCACAGAAGATGGTGAGTTCAGAGACAGACAGCGGATTTGGGAGCTCTTACTTGAATCATTCAGGCTCGGGATCATTTCAATCAAATCTGCTTCCAGAAAGGTGTGAGTGAGAGTATTTTAATGACTGGTTCCCCATCATAAACATATCATATGAGCCTAACATGAGAATACCTTAAGCTGAGCTTTTGCTTCTGCAGTGTGTTGTCCCAGAAAGAAGGTTTAAGTAGCTCAGACAGTGAAGACTCGTGCTCCCACCTGCAAACAGCCATCCACCCTGCCATCACTGGCTACCAGTGGGCCAGCCCCCATCCATTTGTCCTAACACAACACTGTGGAGCAACAGCTGGAGTGGATCTGTGGGTGGACAGTACCACTAAGAAACCTTCAGCAATGCTGCAAGGTGAGTAATCTCCATCACTGCATGTTCACTTTTTATGTCATGTTCTCTGGTCAGTGCTAAAGTTCCTCGTGTCCACCACTGACCAAACAGGATCTGACCAAAGCCTGTCTGCTCAGCACCATCAGCTCGTATCTCAACCTCTACTTGGCACCTCCATGGATACTGATGGCAGAGGCAGCCCTCTGCGCTCCTGCTCTTGTAATAGGTCAGTATGCCGAAAACAAACACCAGTGTTAGTGAATAATCACTGCACTGCTGTGAATTCAAATGTTAAACCACTGTGGGTAAAATTATGAAGAGTGTGTATAATTAACATGAAAACAGCAGCAAAATAAAGTGGCACTTTATGGGAGTGGGACTTTCACCCTTTGAAAGTGTTGGTGCTCAACCTCTTTAAGAAGAAATAAAAGTTAAAGCCAGAGGGCAGTGTAGGACGCAAATTTGGTCTTGCACTTTTAAAGTGGCAGCAGACAACTGGTTATAAGGCTTATAGGAATAAATCTAATGCAAATAATTACTGTTGAGGCCACTCTTGAAACCTTTGAATTCTTAGAGCTCTCCCTTGAAAAACAGCTCATCTGAGATTCACCCTTTTGGTTTCAATCTCTCTGTGTTGTTGCCTTCATTACCTCGATCAACAACTGTTCTTTTTTTGTTTTTGTTTTGAAGGGGTTTCACAAGTATGTGGCTTTGTTCTAGCAGTCAGCATTTAAGCTAAATATTTGCCCGTATCTACTGGAACTTTATCATGACCTTTTTTTCCCATTTTATGAACATTTACATTTCTGTGTCGCTCGTGTGTGACCAGTGAGGCTATCCTGGCCTTGCAATCGGAGGTGTCTAGGCTAAAGAAGGACCTGGAGGTGGGCTTAGTGCAATTACCTCACTTAGCTCAGAAGATGGACTATCTCACCTCAAAATACAGACAAGAGCGCCAGGAGCGCCGGTCCAGAACCAGGACTTACCAAAGTCCAGCCTGTAACAGGTGGGACTCTGATCATCATGGTCAATGAATGAAAGATGGACATTTTGTAAGGTGTTATCATGTTGATAGTGACATGTATTATATCTAGTAAACTAACAAGTAAGAATTTCAGTTTCATGATAAACATTTAAACAGAAATAACCATTTAGAGTCCAAATGTCTTCTCATATTGATTATTTGTATCATAACATGTAGAGTGGGGAATATCAGCAGCAGAGATGTGAGTAACTTCAGTTTCAGTCAGGCAAGGCTGGAGGACTGGATCTCATCAGACATGGACCCCAGCCAGAGCAAAGGTAGACCCCCACCAGCCATAAAACTGTGTAAACTCCAATTGTCTGGCCCTAAGTTCCCTTCCCTGCTTTGATATGAGTGCATGCAGATGTTACTTCATCCTTTTAATGTAATTTGTTCGTTTGCTCTTCAGGCACAGACAGCAGTGAAACAAGCTCTGAGATAATGTTGCAGTTACACAGTTCACCAGCAGGGAGCAGAAAAGGTGGCAGAGGCGTATCCTTGGGACCTGAGTTTCAGTTTAAACAGCAGGCGGTCCAGCCCAAAGGAGGTCAGAGCCAGAGTCACAGCAGAATTTTGTTTCACTTTATTTGGATGATTTTCTGTCTGACTGTCTTTGAACTGAACATTCAGTTTCTCCTGCTGCGTGGACAGAGGGAGGCCGCTCACTGGAAACTTCTGGGTTGAGAAGCTGCAGTTTAAAAGGAAAGAACGACATGATGTCTGACTTCAGACCACAGAGTGAGAAACTGTTTCATGTCAGGTTTTGTCCATCAAGGTTTTGATTTAATGAGTTATGAAACTGACCTCAGTAAATGTATTAGTGTTATCTGGATGAATAGTGTAAGGGCTGTAATACTGTAAGGTGAAAAGGAAAATCACTGCTGTCAATACGTACTAATTCTTACTGAGCACACTGTTGGTCATGTTTCTGTGATCTACAGTTGTCACAAATAGTTTACACTCCAAGGACAGATGGTCTCTTCTCTCCAGCTCGTTTCTCCAGAAGCCGCTGTTGCAGGTCAGCTACGGCTCCTCCTGCAGTCTGCCGGCCAGGTAAAATACAAGCATTAACTGCATTGATAGAGATATTTATCAGCTGTACGCTTCATAGTTTTTTCTTGGGATAAATCATTCTTTTTTGCTACGTGTTGTCAAATCCAGCTATAAATTCAGGGAGCCACCGCTGCAGTCCATGCCCCATCACAGAAAACTTTCCACTCAGTCAGACACAGCACTCCTGCCCAGCAATGTGTACTTTCAGCGGACACCGTCTCCATCATCTGTACCCTTCAAGACTGGCAGCAGGACAAGCAGACGTAGCAGGAGCAAGGTCAAATGTCTCAAACTTTATCGCAAATCAGATAAACCAGTTCTCTTTATATACAGGAACATCTGCTGTATATCATAATAAAGATCAGGTCTTTACTGTGACATACACAAGTCTTACTTGGCTTAAGGGACAAGTTTCTTTGGTTTTCTAGGAAGAAGACGTGAACAGGACTCTGGACCAGGCGATTGAGATGGCTCGCAGCATGAAGAGGACCACTGACCGCATGGCCAGGAGGCTGTCTGTAGATCTGGCTAAGGCTCAGCTACACAGGAAACTGCACCACATGCAGTCACAAGGTGGAAGGAAACATCTGGAACCTGGCTATGGATGAGTTTATACTCTCATCTCTTTGCCTGATACCTTTATGAAATATATTTTAAATAAAGTATATCTGATTCACAGATGTGATCTGTGATACGTTTGTTTTTGTTTTCTTTTGGTTTAAACAGTATCGTCTATAGTAGTAACATGTATAGTACGTTTATAAAGTTACTGATATTTTTTATGAATGGGCAACATTTTTTAAATATGAAATGTCTTCATGTTTTGATTTGATCTCAAGGCCTCTGAAGAACATTTTTATCCATCCATCTTAACTGTATTCTTACCAAAATGTATTCAAAAGAAATGCTGTGAGGCACAATGTGATCTCATAGTGACGACAACAGTAGACATAGAGTACATTGCGACAAGTTGAAGCAATAGATGTAAACTTATTTTCACAATGCTCCATGTCACTGAACACCCTGGTAATCTTTTTTTAATGTCAGGTGAAATATAAGAAGTGAAGCTACAGTGAATGTATGATTTACAGATGGAAAATATAGGAAGTAAACACATAAAAAATATAAAGTGACATAAAATTCAGCTTGATCCTTTTTAATTGGGTGCCGCAAGTGAAAATACATCCTTAACCATCCTTAGACATCAGGTGACTCTCTCTGATATTTCACCTCTTTACTTTGCCTGCTTCAGTTGTGTGTTTGTGATCATTTTCCTGCAGAATCATGCAGTGAGTTTCATGCGTTTGGCATTTGTAGTTTTTTCCTGTTTGTACCTACTTTGTTTTTTTTCTTTTAACTGTGATGTCAGTGCACAGATTTGGAGACAATACCTCTTTCTTACGACTCTTAGTAAATGATAAGAAACAGCAGCACAGTGCAAAGATTCATACATGTTGTCGACACTGAAATGCACCTTAAGGTCCCCACACAAAGATACGGGCACACACCTGTCCTCGGGATTAAAGCTGATGTTATTACAGGATTGCAGGAGGTTATTGTCCGCCGAAATTCAAACACGCTTTGATGTGATGGCCTTTCTCAGTCATGCACTGGATTCTAAAACTTCTTGTTGTGCTGGTTGTGCTGTGCAGTGAACAGTGCGGTAGTAAAGGTTATCTAAAACCCACTAGTTTAATTGGTTTAACCAGTGTGTGAATGGGTGGATGACTGGTTGTGTAAAGCGCTTTGGGGTCCTTAGGGACTAGAAAAGCGCTATATAAATACAGGCCATTTACCATTCATATTTTAAAACAAAAAATATTCTGGCATCTCTTAAAGAAAGTTCGTTTTTAGCTCTCTTCCAGCAAACTGACTAAACCAGCTGATCTCCTCTGCACATCTAAGCAGAAAATGCAGAGATCATCCTTTTTTTAATCAAAATAAATAATAAAACTATAAAAAAGATGAATGAAAGACTGGGGCAGGTGGTTAGCAAGATGACAAAAGGCTGATAACTAGCAGGAAAAAAAGACATCACATTTAATACAATCACATATTTATTTCAACAAATTATAAAATGTGACAGAAAAACAGTGATGCAAAAAACTTGACAGTAGTATAAACTAAAGTCGAAGCAAAGCTCTAGCCTTTTACTTTTTAAAAATACTGCAACTTTCTGATCAAGAGCATTACTGCAGCTGAACAAACTTTATTTAACACAGAAATAAAAGCAGAAATATTTAATGTACTAACAGGAAATAAAGTCACTAATTAAGATTTCCTGTGACAGCAGTCCTACTAGCTGTGTTGATCTTGGACAGCAGGGGGCGTAGCAGGGTTGGCTTTACCAACTATATAAATCTGGGACTCTCCACCATTTGACCCTAGAACAGAAGAAGCTTCTCGGATGAGAGGTGAAATGTCTTCAAGCAACTTAAAGAACCTTCACAGACTTATAGTGGTCAGAGAGCTCAACAGTAGAGTACAGCAAGTTCAACAAAAGATGTTGTTGGGTGGTAACATGATGTGAAAAATTTCACTGATCCTATGCTGTGTCAGAATTACTCACCACATTACAGCCACATGTTGGATCAGTGGTGTCTGACATGCTCTCAGAAATCAGTATATTTTCCTTGACTTCGTATCTTCACAGATGGGTGAATGAAAACACTACATATGTCCCACAAAAACTTGTTAGCCACAAGGACGGAGTCAAATGCAGGCCTGATTAAATCTGCGGGGGTCTAGTCGGTCCTACTGACACAAACCAGCCTAATGTGACCAGATCCCAACAAAGTAAATGCCCAAACAAAAACAGTGAGTGTTTTTGTTTGGGACATGTTACTGATGGTGAGAGGTGGTTTGAAATTTTCATACATTTAGACATCAAGCATGTGAAGGAACTGACATTAATGTTAGAGATATTTTTGGTCTTTGTAAACTTGTGGACTCCACTTTTCTGTTGCAATAAAAGGCTGACAGTTTAGCTTAGTTCAAGAAATCATCAAATCAAAGTCAAACGTCATAAACGTCATATTTTAAGTTATAAGCGGCATGGATGTGAGTCTTGAGTCACCCCTGTTTTCCTTATATTCGCTATTTCTTAATGACATGACTTTCAGACACTGTTCATCTGCTCATCTTTCTGACTCCTGTCATGTCTTCCCTGCAAATTGCAAACCACACTGCCAGCTAAAAAGCTGTTGGATGATGTCATTCATTTAACCCCCTCTGGCCCCGGCTGCATACTTCTCCTTCTCATCACTGTCATACATTCCTGCTGTGAGTGCCACAGGATAGGAGGCTATAAATAAGGGAACTTGTTTTTTTAAATGGAAAATAATTTCAAACACTCAAGAGTACAAAGACATCACAAACTGACACATATTCTGTCTAGCTAAAGATAGAGGTTATTGAGGGAAAAAATACTTAATCTGTAAAAACTTCACTTTTAGAATCAGAGAAAGATGAAAAAAAAGAGAGAGGACTGGAGTATATATGGACTAATATATATCTATATACATATATAGAAAGAGATAGATATAGATAAAATCAGATAGTGGATTTTAAACTTGTGTGTGTTTCTATGTGTTTCAATTCTATTCTATTTCTTGGACCGCTTCCTCCTCAGCCTCCACTTCTTCAGCTCTGGAAACATCCGTCTCATCGTTCTCCTTTTTGTCTGATTTCTGCTTTTTGATGACCTGGAGAGACGATACACAATCCATGTTACTGTTCCTACACTTCTCAGCTACCACTCAGTTTCATACATGCTTTTATTTACTCTGATGTACCTTATAGTAGAAATGAAGGGCAATGTTCTCCAAAAGCAGAACCAGAGGCAGGAGAACATATCTCAGGATTGGAATTCTTGAATCTGTGGAAAGAGATCAGTCATCATCACTTACCACAGAACAAACTGTCATATAATTTATTTTGTTTTAAAGACATTGAAACAAATCTTGTGAAAAATCTCCTCATAAATCATGTTAACATCAATAGATTATAAAACAATGGGCTCCCAGTGAATGAAAAAACCCTCTCCACGAGATGGAGGTGTGTCCTCAACACAATATTACCCAGTTATGGTTTAGGAGGCGTGGCTCCATCTGACAAATATGGTGACCACAATACAACATTGCAGACTGTACAACAGCCACTAATGAACTACCTACAGTTAGGTTTAGAAAGCTTTAGATTTGTGTTATTTTAAGTGTGTAGCCACACTTACATGATGTAAATGTGAGACTCAAAGTGATTTTGAAGGATTCAACAAAAGTATTTAGTGTGCTGTGAAGAAATTAACATTTTATAGCCACAATTTTCAGGCACTTAACAGGTGTGGGTTATTTCTTTGTTCAACTTTTTTCATAACACATGGCATCATTAAACTTGATTAAAACCACATACTTACAAAAAATGTTTAAATATTCCAAGTATTTTTTAAATCCTTTTTCTGTGTCATCGAAAACCTTCCAACATGATGCAGTCAAACTATCACTGCCATGATCAGTAGATGCTACTGACTGTGTGTAGATGGAAGAACCATTAGCAGATGCATAAAGACTGAGAAGACTGAACTAAAGTGTGCCATTTCTTTTGGCTAATAACAAGCATTAGCAAAACAAAGGCCAAAAAGAGAAACTGAAACCCTTAACATGGAAAACACACTAGGGCAAGATAAAGACCTGCTCTGTCCTATGGAAAAAGAAGACGACGACTTTATACAGTACAGACACACACGGGCAATCAGGGAAGCAGAGACAGCCGGGGAGAACAAGACACAGCTGAATTAAATCACAGAAAACTAAACAATGGAAGCAAAACTAAAAGCAAAGCACAAGGAACACTCGCTCTCGAAATCTCGATAATTAAATGTGGAAAACAGACACATGAATGAATGAGCAGAGAACACTGAGCGAGGAATTAAAGCAACGAGGAACTGAAAACAAGACTAAATAGACTAAGAACAAGTGCAAATGCTAAACAAGACTTGAAAGTTTAAAAAACTCAAAACATTACGTAAACTGACCCATGACACTCACAGCAAACAGAAATATTGAGTTCTGGTGTTTGCTTAACTTACATATAACGGAGACATAAATCCACTCCGCCTCAGGAGAAGTGAATGTTCCTTCTGTCAGAGTTATCTCATACACACAGCTGTAGCGGCCCTCGTGTCCAAAGTCAGCTACAGGGAAACTAAAGGAGGCTGAGCTGTTGACAGATGTCTTATTGTGTTTCATGTTGGAGCCAGAGTAGATGAGATTGAAAACTCCTCCTGAATAGCGATCATTGTTTGAGCAGGTGAAGATGAAGCTGTAGCCCTTCATGATTTCTATAACCTTAGCAAGTCTTCCATCTGGAGATGTCACAGAGATCCTGGGCTGCTGCAGCAACACTGAAAACAAAATAAACAACAAATAAAGAAGCTCTATTGAAAAAGAGGCACCACCTGGTGGCGGAAAAAACTCTGTCACTCTTTTAATGCGTGTGTCATGTGTGAATATGATCCAGATCTTTTTAACTGACTGAAAACATTTAATCCATCATTAAACAAACAAGACAGCTCAGGATTGTTGAGGTGCTAGAATCGTTTATCCCTCAAGAATAGGACAACATTTCTCTCCCAAAAGTCCAGCAATTCTTTGGTGCCCAGACAATTCAGATTAATTCAGTTTTTATAGATACTGAGAATTCAAAACACCTCAAGGCGCTTTATATTATAAGATAAAGACTGTACAGCATTAAAGAGAAACTGCACCCTATGAATTAGCACTTGGCAACATTGGGAAAGAAAGGCTCCCTTTTAACAGGAAGAAACCTTTGGCCAAACCAAGGATTTAGATTTTAGATTTAACAGGGAGTCAATGAAGAAATGCCAACATGGGAGAAATATGCGTTCTCTTTCTCTCAGTCTCTCGCAGCTGTATTTTGGATTAACTGAAGGCTTTTCTGGGAGTTTTTAGGGCAGGATGAATATGAAAATCTTTATTCACATGGCATGTATTTTAATTTATTGATTGCAGTGAACACTGGCATGAAATTAAGTTGGGTTTCTGCAATCTTAGACATAATTGGGAAGTGACTATTAAGTGTTGTCGTTGATCGATGAACTCCGGAAATTAAGACTTCTTATCTTAATGGATGTTATATTTTCATGCTAATAACCTGTAGTGGGCGTAACAAGTAAACACAGTATTTTCCTGTCACTGTAATATAAGCAATAGTACATTTTATTACCAGTAACAGAGACGGTGACAGAGTCACTTGTGGAGATGCTGGAGTCGTGTGAATATTCACACTGGTACAATCCATCCTTGTCAAAATCTACTTTGAGGATCTTGAATGTAGCAGAGTTGGTAGTTGATGGTTTTGTCTGACTGAATGAGCCTGAAATCTGCTTCAGAGTAAATTCTCCTTGTAGAAGCTGTTGGCTTTGAGGTGATATTGAACAAGTGATGCTGACATCGCTTCTCCGCTCAACTTTACCAGCAGAAATCATGAAGATTCTGGGCTTTGGAAGGATCACTGAGGAAAACAGCAGTCATGGAGAGACGATTCAATTAAAAATGGCAAAAATTTACTTTATATATTAATAATTGTCATGGAAATTTCAAATAAACCCGCAAACATCTCGGTGAGCATGATTTCAAGTGAGCTTAATAACATATTGCAATATGAAGAGACTCTGGTCAAACACCTAAGCGGTCTCTGACAATGGCTGCCATCCTCACATCTTATATACCCACACTGACAAAGACTCTATGTAACTCTTACATGTTACACATGTGTGTTAGAGCATAAGGCCCATTTACGGTGCACATGCATACAACTGGTGAAAATGTGCTTCTACATTACTAAAGTGATATGGTTAAACTATGTGATCAATACAAAAAGAAAGAAATCTCCCACCACATAACAGTATTTAAATATTATTGATATTTAATGATAAATATTTAAAAAAATAATTTCTCACCTGAGCAGACAACACCAGCATCTTTACTGTGTGTACAGTCATGTGTCCCAAATCCTCTGTGCTGACACTCAGTCAGAGATCTCTCACTTCCTGAACAGGACACATCATCAAGCCAGATGGATCCACTTCCCTCACCAAAGCGGGCTGATACAGCAGCACTCTGTGCCATTCCACAGCCGAGCTCTCTACAAACCACCTCAGCATCATTTATGTCCCAGTTATCATCACAGACTGTTCCCCAAATGTTGTTGTAAAAGATTTCGACTCTTCCAGAGCACAAAGTGCTTCCAGATAATCTGACTGGCACACCTGGGCACAGTGAGCATAATAAACAATAAGACAAAACATTTTGATGGACTGAATGTTATTCAGTGTGTAATTGGTTCATGAGTGCAATCATTTGCAAACTTTACATCACTGAGCTGCTCAATGATCATAAAAATCAAACAAAAGAACAGTCCTACAGTCCTATTTATATACTTTATGTTAAGTTCACATTTCAGTGTTATAGGACGCTTCAATCATATTAAATCGGTTTCTTTTGACAGTTCTCACTCATCACTTTATTTGTCAGGCTGTGAATAATTAATATTGAATGATAACAAACAAGTCAAGCTAATAATTTTTCATAAATGCTGGAGTCGTAAATAATATTAAAGACATAATATTAAAGACAAAACCAAGAAGTAATGAAATAAATAGTAAAAAATTGTATTGACCTTTATTATTAATTTACCTTTGATTAGTAAAGTTTCTTACCTGAACAGACAACACCAGCATCCTTGCTGTGTGTACAGTCATGTTTCCCAAATCCTCTGTGCTGACACTCAGTCAGAGATCTCTCACTTCCTGAACAGGACACATCATCAAGCCAGATCGATCCTCTTCCTTCACCAAAGTGAGCGGACTTAGTGGCTTTCAGTGCTGTTCCACAGTTTAACTCTCTGCAGACCACCTCAGCATCATTTATGTCCCAGCCATCATCACAGACTGTTCCCCAAGTGTTGTTGTAAAAGATTTCAACTCTTCCAGAGCAACGAGTGGACCCAGTTAATCTGATGCGTGCACCTGAACTCAGAGTACATGCATTTAATATTTTAATTGAACATTATTGTGAGACTCATTTCTGTACATTAAATAAGTTTCATTCAGCTCACGTTCACTCAGACTCACAGTGCACAAATACATGGCAATAACTACACACAGACCCACATTTATGTCTTTTAATTACTGGCAGTTTAAAAAGATGATGGAAAACATATTTCTCTGTAGATTACAGCTACATTCATAGCAGAACATTTTCAGGGGTGTAATTTCCAGGAGGTTATGACCCCCCCCCCCCCCCCCCCCCCTCCCCAATAAAATTATGAATTATCTTGCATAAATAGGCTGTTCATATTCTTTACTCATTTCAAGTATTAGTATTATTTGTATTAGTATTATTGAACATTTTATTACTGAAAAATGCATGATGTGCAGGATGGTTACTTTATGAGATGATTTGCAGTGATCACCCTGAATTTTAGGACAAAATAGGCAGAGAAGCAAAACTACTGATAAATCTGTTGATGATGAGAGATGTACCTGAACAGATGACACCAGCATCTTTATGGTGTGTGCAGCCATTTTTCTCAGACCCTCTGTGCTGACACTGGATTATAGACCTTTCACTTCCTGAACAGGCCACACCATCAAGCCAGATTGGTCCACTTCCTTCACCAAAATGAGCCTCTTTAGGAGGTGCTAGTGCTGTGCCACAGTCTAAGTGCCTGCAGACCACCTCAGCATCATTCAAGTCCCAGCCGTCATCACAGACTGTTCCCCATCTTTTTTTATTGTAGATTTCAACTCTTCCAGAGCAACGACCTGACTGATGCCCAGATAATCTGATTCCTAAACACAAAACACAGAAAACATATATTTGATTATGATTGTAATGCGTTCTCCTATTTAATGAAGGAAATGGTTTCAAAATCTTCCGACAAGTGAGCCTTTATTAACTGTTGCAAAAATCCAAAAGACAACAGGACTACACACACACACACACACACACACACACACACACACACACACACACACACACACACACAC